TAATAATAATAATGACAACAATAACATTATTTCTTTACAATCATCATCATCATCATTATCATCAATAAATGAAACAAACGAAAATCCTAAATGTTTTTATTGTCGAACAAATGATACTCCAACTTGGAGAACAGGAAGTGAAGGAGAGCGCTTATGGTTTGTTATTACTATAATTGATTTATTTTTTCGATTTGTAACTTATTCATTTTATATATCATATATAAATAAAGTAATGCGTGTGGACTTTAGTTGAGTGAATTTTTTCCTTCTCTTTTTTGTTTTTTTTTTCTATTAATTTCTAGGAAAAAATAATTAAATTTTCTTTCTAACTTCTTATTTAGTCATAAAAAATATGGAACGCGTCGTCCAACCGAGAACGTGAACGGAAAAATTAAAATAAAACGTAAAAATACTAAGACTCAAAATCACATGTGTATTAATTGTCATGTGACCCAATCACCTTGTTGGAGAAAATTTGATGGTCAAAGATTATGTAAGGAATGTTCATAAAATTTCCCATTTTATATAAAATAATGTATAGTGATTCCATATAAATATATTTAGGTAATTCTTGTGGATTATATATTCGACTTCATGGACACCATCGTAATCCACAACATTATCGTTCACATTAATAATCAAAACGATGAAATATGATGATGATGATGGTGATGAAGACTTAATTTTAAAAAAAATTTTTTTGAATTATTTTTGGAGGATTTTTTTGGACACTATTAATTACACCTTTTCCCCCGCAATTAATTCATTCCATTATGTTCTTGAAGAGGCTGGTCTCTTCGTTGTGATCATTATGATCATTATGATAATTAATATATGAAAATCTTATTTGTTTCACTATATTTTTATTTGTGAAAAAAAATCTTAACACTATTTCACATACATAAACTCTCTTTATAAATTTTTTCTTTTTCTTTTTTTTAAAAAATGCTTTCAGAATTTTTACACGTGGGTTTTATCGTATTCAACTAAGTGAATGAATGAACCTATTAAATTTCTTCAATATTCACACATACGCACACACGCTTTCTTCTTTTTCTTTAACAATGACAGAAAACAATAAATAAACAAAAAAGAAAAAGAGTCCAATCAAATTTACCATTTTTATTATAACATTGCAATCCAAATATGTTAAACTTTTGAAAATCATTATCTTTTAAAGCTACTTGATTAAAATGGGTAATTTTTTTATGCATAAAATAAATAAATAATGTGAGGAGAGCCAACTGGTTATTTATAAAATTAACAAAAAGATAATTAAATAAAGACATTTTTATTTTTTAAAATAAAAAAATGGTCACTGAACAATAAATAATAGGTTTTATTATTATTTATTATCAATAAGATAATTAAAATTAAAATTTATATATAAATATAAAAAAAATTATTTTCGAGAATAAAAAAACGTCAAAAAAATTTTTTTTTATCCAAAGCTTTTTTTGTTTCACACTATTTAATTAATATTCAATCAAAAGTCTTCCTTTCTGTTTTAAATACATACATTAATACATACAATTATTAATACATACAAATATATATATAAATACACATATAAAATATATAATAATAAATATAAATATTACATTTATTCATTACTCCTTAATCTTATTTGTTATATTTATTGGTAATAGAGACAAATTAACTTTTATTTAAATAATTTTTATTTCTTCCATCTCATTTAGTACAGCTAATCCAAAAAGAAACATCGTTAATTAAATTATCATATCTTAATAACTTTAAACTAACATATGAATGATGAAAGGAACTGTTACTGCTTCATCCACTCCTGCTACTACCATCACATCTACTATTAATAGTGGTAGTCAAGAAGCAAATGATAATAATAATAGTCAAGGGAAACAGACTTTATCAATAATGCAACGCCCTTTACCGCTCGAAGTACCATGGGTAACTACCACAAATTTTCATAGTTTACCAACACCTGCACCCTCACCGCAACTATTTCCTTCTTCTTCAACCACCGAAGGTTATCCAACTCAATCCGAAGATGAATTTAGCAGAACAGTTAGAATGAGTTTTCAAAACATGGAAAACTTGCAGAGACAGCGACTCTTGGCAGAACTTTTGAACATTTGTAATAACGAACAATTGGTCTTTGTTTCAAATTATATATCTCCACGTTTGAAACGTGATTTCTTAAAAGACCTTCCAATAGAACTTAGTCTACATATATTGTCTTTTATTGATGATCCAAAAACACTTTCTAGAGCATCAGGCGTCTCTAATTTTTGGCATTCACTATTAAACGATGAGTTCACCTGGAAAAATTTATGTGTGCGTCACCATTTTAAAAGACGTAGTTCTATGATAAAACCATTGCCAAATTGTTCCTCCTCCTCCACTCCCACTCCGTCATCATCTTCGTCGTTATCAACAACAACAACAACTTCTTCACAATCCAATACCATTGATTTAACATCGCCAACATCATCAACAACATCATCTAATTGTACAAATTTTTCGTATAAAGAACATTTCCGAAGGCGTTATATAGTTGAATCAAACTGGAAACATGGTGGTAAAACACTTGTCACCCATATAAGTCCAGATTCTGGTGTTGTAACTTCTTTACAGACATGTCAAAATTACATAGTGGTTGGAATGGATAATAATAAAATTCATATATTTGATGTTTCCAACGGTAAATACATAAAAACATTAACAGGTCATGATGGTGGCGTATGGGCTTTACAATATATTGATGAAGTATTGGTTTCCGGTGGTTGTGATCGGTAAGCCTTTTTTTTTAAAATAATTTATTAACTAATCATTAATACTTTTTATAAATCGATCGATCAATCAATCAATATCTTATTTATATATATATATATATATATATATAGTGAAGTACGCGTTTGGGATATTAATACAGCCGAATGTAAACATGTACTTCATGGACACACATCAACAGTCCGCTCTTTAAAAATGAAAGATAAAACAATAGCTGTGAGTGGATCTCGTGATGCTACACTTCGAGTTTGGAATATTGAAGAAGGTCATTTAATTCATTTACTTACTGGTCATACTGCTAGTGTACGATGTATGGAGATTTATGGTGATATCGTTGTATCCGGAAGTTATGATTGTAATGCAAGGGTAAGTCTGCATAAATATATGTGTGTGCGTGTACGTTATATATATTTGATTAATAAACAATAACAATAATAATATAATTTATTATATAGGTATGGAATATAGTTACTGGTGAATGTCTACATGTACTTTCAGGACATTACTCGCAAATTTATTCTATTGCATTTGATGGCGAAAGAATAGTCACAGGGTGTGTAATATGCTTTTTATATATATTATAACTTGCAAAAAATTTAACGTATTTCTAATAAAGCTTATTCATCATCATCTTATAAATGTTTAGTTCGCTTGATTCTACTGCACGTGTATGGTCATTCAAGACAGGATTAAGTTTAAATGTTTTACAAGGTCACACATCACTTGTAGGTCAATTACAACTTCATGATTCGACACTTGTGACTGGAGGAAGTGATGGTGTCATTCGTATCTGGGATTTGGAAACGAATCGATGTGTACAACATATTGCAGCACACGACAATTCAGTAACTTGTTTACAATTTGATGAGAAACGTATCGTGTCAGGAGGAAATGACGGTCACGTGAAGTTGTGGGATGTTGAGACCGGAGAGTTTATTCGCGAGTTGACAACTCCAGGAAACGCTGTTTGGCGATTAGCTTTTCAACAAACAAAAGCTGTAGTATTATTGCAACGTGAAAGTAGAACCATTATGGAAGTTCTTGATTTTGATTCAAAACAATCATTCGATTCATGATCCAGTTGCTTTTATTTAATTTAAAAGGACATTTTAAATTACATCATTAAATATTTTCTAAAAACAATCATTTTATAAACGATTAATTTATTTGAATAATAATCATTTTTAAATAAATGATTATTATTTAAATACACACACACATACACATATAAATACATCATAATAGATTTAAACACGATCACATTATCATCATACACGCACACATTTCACTATTCGATCTTTTTTCTTTTAGAAATTTTCCTGCCAACTAGATTTTTTTTCCTTCTCAATTTATATATATTTACATAAAACACGCATTTACATACACACACTCACATTCACATATATATAATTAGTAAAAATTTTTTTCAATGTATTTTAAATTTTTTTTTTTTAAATTTATAGTTTTGTTTTGTTAATATATATAAATGTAAAAATAAATTTTTTTATTTTATTTTAAATTTTATTGCTTTTGCAAAAAAAAAAAAAAAAAAAATTTCAAAAGTTTTTTTTTTAATAAATTGATATTATAATATATATATATATTAAAAAGCTTTTAATATATCACGTATATCTTCCTCACTTCCATTAAAATTAACTGGTGTATATATGTCTTTACTTGGATCCATAATTATATATGAAGATGTCGCAAGATTATAAGCGATATTCAATATATCAGATTCTTTAGGAACTTCTATAAATTTGTTTTTACATAATTTGATATATAATGGTACAACCTATAATAATAATAATAATAATGTTTTAATTAATTAAAATTTATTTCCTTTTAAATGAAAAAATTTGCACTTACATCTTTAACTTGAATTGATGAATCATTGATATTTTTGTCTTTAGCCGTTAACAATGCTAGCAAAAACATTTTTTCGTGTGTAGAACAACGTTTAATATAATCTTTATATGGATTACTTAATCTATAAATCGCTTTCTGAACAATGTCATTGGTAACAATAAGGTTTATTTTTGGATTTTTCTTGTAATTTGATTCCAGTATATCGATTGAATCTCTGAAAAATAAATTTTTTTGAAAGGATAAAAAGAATAAATGTACAAAATTATATTATAATTAAATCATAACATTATTTATTTATTTCAATAAAAATATACCTGCAAATACTTATAAAAGTTTTAATATCTTGTGTTCCTGAAGTTGTTATACTTGCAGCCACATCTATAACATCCTTACCAAATATATGAGTACATCCATAACATTTGTCGGCAATTGTAATTAATTCATTTTTAGTGTATGGTTTAAAAACCAATTTATCCACTTTTTTTTTTTCGATTTTGATAAATTATATATATATATATATAATTAGTCTTCATAATTATAATTATAATAATAATAATTATTATTAATCTCAACATACATAATCTACTATTGCATGAATCTGATAAACTATCAGCCAAACTATCATCAGAAGTTATGGCTATCAAGATAAAAAACAAATCAAAGCGCGCAGTCCAGTCTAAAAGATTATATGCGACCTGTCTTTTTTCTTTCGCTATACTCTCAACCGAATCTAACATAAGAATACTGATGAAAAGAGAAAATAATAACATTAACATTCGTGTGGCAAAAAAATGTGATATTGATATTGAAATAGATAGAAAGATAAATACATTGGACCTGGTTCAGATTTAGCCTTAAATCTTGCATCTAATAATTTTTTAGCATCGGAACTATTTACAATAACACCAGTTAATTGTTTCCATAATATAGTATACAATTCTTCAGGTGAATTTAATTCCATTCCATTGATTTTAACAAGATGGAACGACTTTTTTTTAGAAAGAAAAATGAATATTAAATATTGTTGTAATTAATTATTGTCAAATCAAATCAAATCGATCAATTCAATGGTTTACCATTTCGCTAACTTCGCTAACTTCCTTCTTTAAATTATCCATGACACATTCTACAGTTGCCGTTTTACCGGTTCCAGCTTGACCTGATACGCCTAATTTAGGAGCGGACATATATAAATATATCAAATTATTATGACATGTAAAGACAAGTACGTGTAAATGTTAATCTTACAAATACAACATCCTGAAAATTGTTCAATCGCAGATCTAACTTTTCCATAGATTCGCTTGTACTCGCTTTCGCGACCAGGTAGCTCATCAGGAACATTGTTTGGTCTTAGCTTTAATCTAGCGCATTTTAAAGCTAATACAGAGGTTTTTTCTGACGACATTTTTTTTAAACAAAAAATTTGAACGCGACTGTGGATGTGTCAACTAAATTTGGTAATTATCGGCAAATTTTAAAAAGTAAAAAAAAAAACAATATTGAAAAAGAAAATTTTTTACAAAAAACCTTTTACAAAAATATTAATTATTTTTAAAAAAAAAAAAAACTTTTAGAAACAAATGTTTTCCGGTACAAAAACAGGGTGGGAATTATATGAAGAATTTGAATCCGAGTTTTCACCATCAGCTGTTGTCGCGTTGTTTCAGCAAAAATTAAAATACGCGTTACCACTAATATACACTTACGACAAGAAGGTCAATAGAAAGTACTCATGTAAATTAACTTACGAGAACGAAGAGTGGGAAACCGAACTATTGTACGACAGACAAAAGGATGCAAAAAATGCTGTAGCTAAAGTGGTGTTAAAAATTTTAACAAATCGTTATCCAAAGTTGGCGGTTACCATCCAACAGATCCTCGAAATGAGATGTAAGTTAGGCCCCAAGCGACTAGTGTTTGGAAATGGATCTGTAATTCATATCCCACCACTATTTCCACCAACACTCTGGTCTGTTCATGAACTCGTCAAATACGGT